ACTCATGGAATTTCTCTAAAAGAGATCATATAATAATTCACAACTGTCAACAAATACAGCAAAATTGAAATGACTCCTTGTATTCTATATAACCACAAAAAGCTATGAATAAACAACAAAAGAAACTACAGAAGACACACAAACTCATGGAAATTAAACAATATATTATTGAACAATGAAAGGGTCATAAATAAGAAGGAAACCAAATAATTCTTAGAATTAAATGAAAATGAAAACACAGCATGTCAAAACCTATGGGATATAATGAGAGCAGTCCTAAGAGAGACATGTATAGGTATAAGTACCTACATTAAGAAATTATAGGGCCTGGAGAGATGGCTCAGTGGTTAAAAGCACTGACTACTCCTGCAAAGGACCCAGGTTCGATTCCCAGCACCCACATGGTGGCTAATAACCATCTGTAACTCCAGTTCCAGGGGATCTGATGCCCTCTTTGGCCTCCTCAGGCATTGCACGACATGGGTGCACCTACCTACATGCAGGTAATACACTCATACACATAAAATTTAAAAAAATAAAATAAAACACACACACACACAAAGAAATCATAGATATCGCAAATAAATAACAATGTTGAGCCTTATGGCCTTGAAAGACAAGAACAAATCAAGCACAAGAGCAGTAAAAATAAAGAAATCATTAAGGTCAGATAGAAATTTTAAAAATATAAGTATTAATGAAATATAGAGTTGGCTCTTTGAATTGATTTTTTAAAACAAGATTGACAAACTCCTGACCAACCTAACCTAAAAGGAGAGGAGACCCAAATTAATAACATTGGAGATAAGAAGGGAGCCATTACAACAGATATCAATGAAATTCAGAAAAATTGTAAGAACATACCTTAAATTCTGCTAAATTGAGAAATCTAAAAGAAATGAATGAACGTAAACACACATATGACCCACCGATGTTAAACCAAGATGAAATAAGAAATTTAAATTGATCTGCAGCAATACGATTGAAACACTAACAAAGAAAAAACTCCCAGCTTAAAGAAGTCCAGACACACATGATCCACGGGTGAATTCTGCTTGATATTTTTTGGTCTTTTTGAGACAGGGTCTCCCTGTAGCCCCAGCTGTCCTGGAACTCACTATGTAGACCAGGCTGGCCTTGAACTCACAGAGATCCGCCTGCCTCTGCCTCCCGAGTGCTGGGATTAAAGGCATGCACCACCACGCCCGGCTTCTACTTGGTATTTTTAAAAGAATGAACACTGATCTTTCTCAAACTATACCATGAAATACCTAAGGAGAGAATTATACCAAATGTTTTATGGAGCCAGGAACTACCCTCATACCAAAACCAGATGAAGATACAACAAAAGAGAATTTCACAGCAATCTCTCTGATAAACCTAGACACAAATATTTCCAATAAAATACTTAAGAACCAAATTCTAGAACACATCAAAAAGATCATTCACTGTCATCAAGTAAGATTGATTCCAGATATGCAAGAATTGTTCAACACGTGTAAATCAGTAAGTATCATACATCATATACATAGACTCAAAGACAGACCTCATATGATCACCTCAATGGATAACAGAAAGTGCCTTTGACAAAATTCAATATCCTTTCATGATCAAAGTTCTGAAGAGACCAGGAATTGAGGAAAGATATCTCCACACAATAAAAAATATATATGGCAAACCTATAGCCAACACTATGCTAAATATAGAAAAACTCAAAAGTAATTCAACCAAGATTAGTAATAAGACAAAGGTGTGCACTTCCTCTTATTCAATATAGTACTTTAAGTCTTAGATACAGCAGTAAGACAAGAGAAAGAAAAAAGGGATACAAATAGGTAAGGAAAAAGTCAAAGTATCCTTATTTGTATCGAATATGATTCTATAAATAAGAGACATTAAAAGTTCCATCAGAAAACTCTTAGAGCTGATAAACACTTTCAGCAAAGTGGTACTATACAAAATTCGCATACAAAAATCAATAGTCTTCCTACATACCAATTACAAACATTCTGAGAAAGAAGAAATTAAAACATTCTCATTCACAATTGCCTAAATAAAATCTTGGAACAAACTTAACCAAGGAAGTGAAAGACCTCTAAAATGAAAACTTCAAAACAGCCCAAAGAGTAATTGAAGAAAACACTATAAGATCAAAAGAATTAATGTTGTAAATTAATATTGCTATTTTACCAACAGCAATCTACAGATTCCATGCAATTCACAATCAAAATTTCAATGCTATTTTTTCACAGAAACAGGATAAATGTCTTAAAATTCATATGGAAGCACAAAAGACCCTGAACAGTCAAAGCAATCCTGAGCAAAATGAATAATGCTGGAGGTATCACGATACTTAATTTCAAGTTATACTCCAAAACCATAGTAACAAAACCAGCATAGTACTCAAATGAAATCAAACACAGTTCAATGGAATAGTATAGAAGACCCAGATACAAACCTACACGCCTGCTACCACATGTTGACAAAGATGTACAATAACGCACATTGGTGAAAAGACAGCCCTTTCAACAAATGGTGCTGGAAAAAACTGAATTATCTACATGCAGAAGAATGTAACTAGATCCCTATTTCTCTACGCAAAAATCAGCTCCCAATGGATCAAAGACCTTAAGGTAAAACATGAAACTCTGAAAGTGTTAAAAGAAAAAGTAGGGAAAATGCTCCAAGATATTGCAATAGGCAAAGGGTTTCTCAACAGGACTCCAGTTGCTTGGGAAATAATGCCAATAGTTGACGAATGGGAGACCCCATAAAATTAAAACAGTTTTGTTCGGTAACAGGGGCTTTTAACTGAGTTAAGAGATAGCCTATAGAATGAGAGAAAATCTTTGGTAGCTATACACTTGTGAAATCGACAGACAGTTCTCAAAAGGTGAAATCCAAATGGCCTATAAACATGAAGAAATGTTCAATATCCTTAGCTATCAGAGAAATGAAGGCCAAACATATTTTGAGATTTCATTTCATCCCAGTCAGAATGGCAGTCATCAACAAAGCCAATAACAGATGCTGGTGAGGATGTAGACAAAAGGGAACCATTATACACTGGTGGTGGGAATGTAAATTAATGCAGCCATTGTGGAAGTCAGAATGGAGGTTTCTCAAAAAGCTAATAATAGATCTTCCATATGACCCAACTATACTACTTCTAGGCTTTTACCCAAAGGACTCTAAGTTGACATGTCACAGAGATACTTGCACATCAATATTTATTGCATGACTATTCACAGTAGCTAAATTATGAGAGCAACCTAGGTGTCCAACAATTGAATAATTGATAAAGAAAATATGGCATGTAAACACAATGGAATTTTTCAGTCATAAAGAAGTACAAAGTTATGCCATTTGCAGAAAAATAGATGCAATTGGCAATAATAATAAATATTAAGTGAACTAAGCCTATTTCAGAAAGACAAATATATGCTTTCTCTCATTTGTGGTTGCTGTATTTTATATAGATACATAATATTATTCATATATATATGACAAGAAATTAGAAGTAAGGCACCAGAGAGATGGCTTAGCAGTTAAGAATGCTTACTGCTCTTGCATGACATGATCTTTTTTTCAGTACTGGGGATTGAACTCAGGGCCTTGTGCATGGCAAATGCTCTACCACCGAGGTACACACCTGATTGCCTTTATTTTTACTTTTAGTTTTATTTGGGGGACAGGGTCTCATTAAGTTGCCCAGGCTGCCTGAATTCACTGTGAGTAGCCCAGGCTGGCCTCCAACTTGCTATCCTTCTTCCATAACCTCCATGATGCTAGGATTATGAGTATGGTTGTTGGGCAATGGCATGAGTTTTCAAAACAATGTCCATTGAATCTTCTTCCTAGTATTTCATCTATATCTCAAACACAAGAGACAAGCCTGTCAGGTAGATACATCTTGAGCTTCTTACTCATCTCTGAAACTGTTATATATTATTAAAGAAGTCATTCCCTTGACTAGGTTTTTTTTAGTTCATAATATATGTACTTAGCCCTTTTATCTCATGAATGCTGGTTTAAAATGGAATTCAGGGGGCTGGAGAGATCACTCAGCAGTTAAGAACACTGGTTGTTCTTGCAGAAGCCAGGTTTGAATCCCAGCACCCACATAGCAGCTAACAACTGTCTGTAACTCCAGTCCCATGGAATCTGACAGCCTCTTCTGACCTCCTCAGGCATTGCACAACAGGGGTGCATTTACCTACATGCAGGCAATACATGCATACTCATAAAATAAAAATAATAAAATTTAAAAAAATAAAATAAAATAAAATGTAATTCAGTGCTGAAAATATACTTCAATGGTAGAGCCCTTCTGTAGTATCGACAAGGCCATGGATTCCATTCAAGCATGGAAAAATTAATCATTAATTCATTAATTCCTTCCCACTGCTATAAGACATATCATGTTTGCAGTCTTGTAGCCTGACATGTGGTGTTGCTAACAGACTCATGTTTTCCCTTTCTGAATGTTCACAACATTTCAAAGGGGGTAAAATAAAATGCAATAAAGCAATGTCTAATCTGCTTTTCTTCCCAACACCAATCAGCCTAAATACTGCAGGTAGGCCTCATTCCCTGGAACATGTGGGTTTATCAGTTCAACAAAGGAAGCAAAACCAACCTTTTATGAAAAAATTTCTGAAGACCAGAATGAAGATAATCAGCCACCAGTGCAATGTGCTGCTCTTTCCTTTTGCCAAGTAGTGCTGCCCTTTGACCCCAGCTGAAGACCTACTCTGAGAACTTCATGGTACTGTTGCTTCGTCAGTCGAAATCTCATACCTCAAGAGGACCCAGATCCAAGAACCCAGACAGCAGCATATTCCAGAGCAAAGCTAGGCAAGGGCTGAGGGAAGGAGAGAAGGACTCTAGATCAGCCTTGCCTGTTTCTTTAGTATAGAAGCAGAGGTGAGATGAGGTTGTGAGAGGGATATCAAGCCTTGAAAGTAACTAAAAGGCATGTACCTGTTGTGTCTCCTCAGGAGCTATTCCCATCTTCCTTGGACCCTACTTGCTGGTGTTCAGTAATTTATGGCCCTTAACTGTGCTCACCTTAGCCTGGCTTGCCTATGACTGGAACACCCACAGTCAAGGTAAGAGATGTAAAGAGAATGGTGGTCCTGTCTGTGCTAAGGGTAGAGCCATGGAGAAAGGGAAGTGGCTGAAGACATGAGTAGAATCAAAGGGGGAACCAAAGTCTCTGAGTGACTGCCCATAAAAAAATTAAGAAAATGAGATCTCTGAGCAGGTACCTCCAGCCTCAGGATGTCTCTCAATCACCTTTCTATTTCTATGAAGAAACAAGAGCTCCCTCTGTCTTGGGAGTTGAACTCAGGACATCTGAGATGTGAGAAAGAGGCTGATTCTGTGGCATGAAGAACACAGGCCAAACTCCTCACCCCTGAGAGAGGGACTGGCAGTGGCCCACTTGCCCTTCTGTTTGTCTCTCTGTCCACAGATGGTAGGCGTTCAGCTTGGGTACGAAACTGGACCCTCTGGAAGTATTTCCAAAATTACTTCCCTATAAAGGTAACTTCCTTTCCTCTGGGTGCCCATCTTTCCTCTCGGTGCCCATCTTTCCTCCGAGTACCCTTGCTCCTTATTGCCTGAACTCCCACTCCATACTGAGCTCCATGCTTTCAAAGGCTTTGATGGATAACAGTGAAGGTGAAGACTCAGAGGTATAAGGAAGAGCAGAAACCCAGAATGCATGGGCAGGTGGGAAGACAGATGGGCAGCATCTTTCCCACAGTGGCAAACTCAGGCCAGCATCTCTTAACAGCATGATTCTTGGAAATCTCTATGACAATGATAACATCCAGTGAGCAAGGATATAGGGCTACCTGCTGGATTCTGAGTTTATACAACCTGTCTTCCTTCTGCCTGATCAATTTCCCTCAATCTCCCTCTAACAGCTGGTGACCCATGACCTTTCTCCCAAACACAACTACATCATTATCAACCATCCCCATGGCATTTTCTCTCTTGGTACCTTCATCAACTTTGCTACTGAGGCCACTGGCTTTTCTAGGATTTTCCCATCCATCACTCCCTTTTTAGCGACCTTGGAACACGTCTTCTGGATCCCAATTGTGCAAGAATATGTGATGTCAATGGGTGAGTAAAATAAATTATCCCAAACTGTAATCCAACTCAAGGCTTCCACTCCAATAAACCTTGACAGTCATTCTGTGCTAGAAGACTCGATTAAACATGAGAAAGAACCCAGCCAGTATCAGGAGTATGTACCCACACATCAAATTTTGTCCAAGATGTGAGAGGAGATTTGGTAGGGCAGCAGGAGAAGTTATAGGCATTCATAAAACACCAGGAATCCTTTCATGGGGGAATCAGAAGGCCGAGCTCTCAGGATCAAAGCCCAAATAGAAAGCAGAGAGTGAAAGCCAAATATTAAATATTAATGCAGGGGAAATCATATCAGACTCCTTTTTTCTGGGATGCCAATTGGCTTCTTTCAGCTGGACATTTATGTAGCAGCTCTCATCTCAGGGCAATTTAAAGACATTTTAAAGTCTTTCATACCACTTAGTACATACAACTTGGTCCATGACCTGTATCACCTGGGAACCCCTTCATCCTTGCTTAAGATGCCAAAGGATAAAGGAGAAGCACCCATCAGAATCCAGGACAACATTCCTATGCCAGGCTTCAAGCCAGGGTACTGTGACAAATTTCCTTCTCTCTGGATAAATGTACATCTTTTTGGACACCAGAACACAACAGAAGTCAAACCAAAAGGTGAGATACATTTATGTTGAGGGACATTCCAGAGGACATTTCTGGCTCCCCTCTTAGGTTGGTGTGGCCATGTAGCCATGTAGCAGGATCTTGCATACAATTTCAACCATCCCAGTAGAAAACAGAAGATAAAGGGAAAATGGATTCAGAAATGGTGACAGTCAGTAGTTATTGTTGAACAACAGTGTGTCATCTACATTCTGTTGTTCATCTACATTTCAATTTGGCTTGGATAGGCTCCCAGGTCTGCCTGTTCTCCAAAACTTCTAGGAAATGGCTTCATTTTGGCAGATTTCTCTTAGAGAGGAAGCACATTGGTGGTGGCTATTCTGATCACCTCCAGAGGAGATACCTCTGGAGGGTTTCCAGTATAGTCAGCCTGGATAGAGAGAAGGATAGCTGTAGTTCATGGGTAGAGAGGGAAAGACTGCTCATCAGGAAGAGAGGATGCTATGAATCAAAATAGGCAGAGGAAATCAGTATAGCCCCATCTGTATTAGCACAGAGCCCTCCCAAGTCAAGCAGCTGACCCTAAAGAGACTCTCAGGCTAGGGCTAACCCAGAACACTGAGGACAAAAACAGAAAGGTGGAAACTACCTCTAGGAGGAAGAGCCTGGAGGAAGCCCTCCCTATCCTCTGACACTAAGTTCTACCACTTGACGCTTTGGTTTCACAGGTGTATGTCCAGTGAGTGAATTGGCTCTGAAGCACAAGCTGACTCAGAGAGGCTCAGGCAATGCTGTGATCATTGTGGTGGGTGGAGCTTCTGAAGCCCTCTTGTGTCACCCAGGAGCCTCCACACTCTGCCTCAAAAGTAGTAAAGGTTTTGTGAAGCTAGCACTGAAGACAGGGTGGGTCACTAGGTTCTGGGGCTCCCTCGTCATGGTGCCACAGACCCTCTGTAGCTCTATCCACCATGGCACTCTCTCTGTGAAACCTACTAGAAGGCCCATCTTTGTTCTGATTGTTTCCTTCTCTGCTCTTCACGGTACCTTAGGGCTGTTTGGTCTTCCAGACATTTTGGTGGACACTTTTCTATCCTGAAGCTATCTTGAAAGAAGAGCAGAAGATGACCTGCAAGTCTGGGGGCTTGGGGGGAGAGGGCTTTGCTCTATATTTACTTGTTTACTTAAAAGCTGTGAGAACTACCCAAGGGCAAGGAAGGCACTGACTGGGTACTCAGAGGATGGATGCTTGGAAGCTGTTCCCCGGTGGTGTAAATCTGATTGAAAAATAGAACACATTGATTCAGCAGTTATCAAATGCCCACTCTGTGTCAGGTTTAGCACAGGACATTGAAATACAGAAATAAATACTATCTGGTCCTTGTGAACTCACAGCCTAGTGTGAAAAGCCAAATCCAGCTATTTACCACCTTAACTACCATCCCCTGGGTTTAAATGCCCATTATCTCTCTACTGGATTATTGCAACACTTGAACTGCTCTCTTTGCTTCTTTCACTGTTTCCCTCCCCTCCAAGATTCTATTCCAAGTTGTAGCTACAAAAATCCTGGTAACCATGAGTTAAATCATGTCATTCCTCAGAATGCTCCAATGCTTCTCATGCCACACAAAGCAAAAGCCAGCACCCTTACCAGGACCTGAAAGACCTTGAATAATCTGTTCCTCGGCTGCCTCTCTGACTTCATCACTCCCTACTCGTCCCATTGCTTACTCCTTCACTACTGTTCCTCCAAGTAACTGCTTGTCTCCTTGATCTCCATCAAATCTTGGCTCAAACATCTCTTTTCATTAAGCTTTCTCTTAACTGTCTTGCTGTATAGTTTCTGCACTGCACCTGTCATCTTCTTAAACCTCATTTATTTATTTTCTTCTATTTTATTGTTTATTATCTGTCTATACCCCTCAAAAAAAGTACGCAGTGTGAAGATGGAGAATTTTTAATCTATTGTGTTGATTGATGCATCCATATGGCCTAAAACAATGCTGGCACATAAAAAACTCAGTAGATATTTGTTGGATGAATGAAATATTATAGGGAGCACCAATTGTGGAAAGCCTTTGACCCAGAGTAGAGGTTTCACAGGAGAGTGACACCTGAACTCTGCTGGAATCAAAATAATAGTAGGAGTTGCCAGTCAGACCAAAATGGCAGGGTGGTGCATCGCTATAGTCCCAGCTACTTGGAATCTGAGGAAGACTGCCAGTTTAAAACCAGCCTGGAACTTGGCAAGATTCTGTGTCCAAATAAAATTTTAGAAGGACTGTGGATGTAACTCAGTGGTAGAGCTCTGCATGTGCAAAAGGCCCTGGGTTGAATCCCTAGTACCACAAAAATAACACAACAAACAAACAAAAGAGAAAACCTGGGCATTCAATGAGGGCCTATAACATATGCAGCACTACACCGGACCAGACCCCAGAGACTCAAAGAGAATCATGTCACAGTTCTCACTTGTGAATTGACAGACAGGTTAAGGAGATGACTAGAAGGCAGGTTGGGATGGGAAGGTAGGACAGAGGAAAGCACTAAGCTGAGCAAATAATCCACAGTGGGAAATTGAAGGTAGTCAAAGACTTCTTTAAGGGGATGCAGTCAGAACGGAGTATTGAAAGGCAAAATGGAATTCGCCACATGAAGAGGGGGAAGGAATTCTGGAAGAGAGAACAGAACATACAGATAGAGCACTTGGCATACTTTGTATTTATAAGCAATGGAGAAGCTGGCTAGATAGGAAGGGCGAGAGCATCAAGACCAGGCTAAGCAGTGAGGGACTCAGGGAGGAGCTCTGGGAGAACTGGGAAGACAGGAGTGATGTGTCCATATGTGCGGTTAGGGAGACCGCTCAGTATGCTAGATACAATGAAGGTGATAAGTCTCCTAGGATTACTTCTTCCCATCACAAGCTAAGGTGCAGCAGCTGCAATGAAAGAGGTTGGGGGAGGTGGTGTGGCAAGAATGAGACATGAGGCTGGAGGTGTTTGGGTGCTTGAAGTCTTCTTGTATCATGGTGAGGTTGGAGAAATTGCCCACCTTGGAGAGGGTTTCGCTGAGGGAGGTTTCACTTCCATGAAGAACTCACTGGTGCCCCTCTCTTCGCAGGGCATACCTTGTTCCATCCTACTCCTTTGGTGAAAATGAGGTGTACAATCAAGAGACCTTCCCTGAGGGCACGTGGCTAAGATTCTTCCAAAAAAAATGGCCAGAAAATTGGCAAAAAACTCCTAGGCCTAAATTTCTGTACCTTTCATGGCCGGGGCCTCACTCGGGGATCCTGGGGCTTTTTACCTTTCAATCAGCCCATTACCACCATTGGTAAGGTTTTCACTTTTGCTAGGTCATTCAGGTTCTTAGTCTCCCACCCCAAGTCACCCATCAACCAGGATGAATGAAGGCAAATTCCAGCAGGTGGGGCTGGAAACAGTGGTAGGATGACTAAGCAGATAACATTTGTGGCCATTTATGGGTGGGACAGTGTTCACCATCTGTCACAGGAGCATCATTGTTCACACACATTCCTTCATTTCTTTCCTGCACTTGCTTTCACTATCTGGAGCATGGGTGAGAGTAAGTGACCAGAGAATTAGGGCCAGGATAGAATCAGGGGGGAAAGGATGAAAGAAGAGGAAGGCCCAGATACTGTTGGAATATGTCCCCCACTGACATATGGCTAGTGTATCAACATTAGGTGGGGACTCTAATGCTTATCTCTTCTCCTTTTCCACAGTTGGAGAACCCCTGCCAGTCCCCAAGATCAATAATCCTAGCAAGGAAACGGTGGGAAAGTACCTTGCACTCTACATCAATGCTCTGTGCAAGCTGTTTGACCAACACAAAGCTAAATATGGCCTCTCAGAGACCCAGGAGCTAACAATTGTATAATATGAGCAAAATTCTCTGTAACCAAACCCCAAATCCATAAGGAATCCAAGTGAAGCAATAGGGAAGGAAGAATGTGGGGAAAGGGGTAGATTTCAAAGATGTAAGCGGATGCCAACTAAGCCAGAAGTACTTCATGAACTGGAATTCCAGTAGCTGCAGTCCTACCCAGGTAGCCAAAGCAAGTTTGGGAACTGGAGGCACAGGAGAGAACTGGTGAAGCCTGACTAACAGAGGAGATAACTCTGTCACACCTTGCTATTTTAGGACAATAATCCAGGGTTATTGTCCCTGGATTAGGAAGAGTCTTGTCAGTCTCATCAACTCTCTGATCAAAGTATAAGAAGCCAACAAACTCTGCCCCTTCCTCACAAGCCTCAGTGGCATTATTACTATTTAGGTTCAGGCTTAGAAGCTTTACTTAGAATAGGACTGCTTTGTTTCCTCCAAGGTAAGGCCCTTTCCTTACAATTTGAGGACTGCCAGAAGGTAAACTGGGGGCCTGAACTGTGGCTTCCTAAGCCAAACTGCCCAAATTCCTTCACTTATGACAGAGTTCAGACTGGCAATGCATTAACATTGTTTTATCTACAAAAATAAAGCTCTAGAAATTAACAATGTACGACTATTTCCTAATTACTGTGGTTCCACTAGCTTGTGGACAGCCATTTTGTTTTCTTCAGCCCCATCCTTTATGATTTCTGATAGAAAGGGTGAGGGGATGGAAGGTGTATTAGTCACTTTTCTGTTGCTGTGATAGAAACACTGACCAAAACAACTTATAAAAGGAAGAGTTTATTTGAGCTTACGGTTCCAGGAGAATTACAGTCTATCTTGGCAGGGAGACATTATGGTGCGCGCGCGCTCTCTGGGCGCACACCCGGAATGGCACGGCGGGGCCGCAGGGTCCCCCCCCCCCCCCCCCCCCGCCGTGCGTCTGGAGGAAGGCAGGTCTGGCCCCGCGGGCTTCTCCGTGTCTCTATGGGCCTCAGGCGTGGGGTGCGCGGGTATCTCGGGGCCGATCTGGGCCCCGGATCTCGGGGTCCACACCACACCTGGCGAGTCGCGCCCGGCTCTGGCCACAGGCGTCTCTGGGAGCGGCAGCAGATAGGTTGCTGTCCGCCGCTCCGGTGCTGACAGCTTCTCTGCTACTGGAGCATTGTCCAGCTGAATCCTGTCCCTATTTCACCCGTGTACTTTTCCTCAGGATGCGAGGTCCACTGGCCACTGAACCCCATGGGAGGAGTACGAGGACAGCGAAAGCTAGGATGTCCGCAAGTCGGTCACAAGGGAGTGCGCCCCCCGGAGAGGCTAGGTCGCCGGTAGTAAGGCACAGGACTCAAGACTCGGCTTAGTCTGTGTTACAGCTTTATTAAGTGTCTCTGCTCTCAGTAGTTCAGCAGCTCTGCGACCCAGCTCTCTGTCTATTAAGAGAAGACTAGGATACTTATACCATGGGGGTAGTGGTAAAAGCTTTGGCTGTTAGATGCTTTGTGAGGCATTCTATTTACATATGGAAGTGGATTTCTGCCAGAC